AGAGTTGCAATTAGGAAAATAAAATCAAAATAGAAGAGAGGATCCCTCAACATCTTTGGTAGTGTCCACGAAGTCGAGCATAACTTTCTCATCCGGACTCCAAATCGACTGGTTTCGGCGGCATTCGAAAGATATTTCAGGTGGCTACAATTTCTGTCTAATGTCAAATTTCTAAATTCGGACTCGAACATGGTCAAAATTGGATTCCAACAGCGATCATGAAAATACCCGCTACAGTTCGAGGACACGAATGCGCATCAAGAAACGTGCACAAAAACACTCGCTACAAAGGATACGCACATAAGTAAAAGTACAAAATCATGCACAAAACTACTCATGCCAAATAGCATTCGCAAAAAGGATCATGAAAACACAAACTACAATCCTAGGACTTTAATACAAATCAACAAACATGCACAAACACACTCGCGCAAATGGACATGCACAAACGTGTAGAAAAACATGCGCAAAAGTGCATTCGCAACAACGTTCTTAAAAACACGGAGTACAACACTAGGACTTTAATGCACATAACCAAACAACAGCAAACACACAAGATAGAAAAGATACAGCCGAGTGTAGAAATAACACTCAACGTTTACGTTTACGTGGATTTTTTTATGGACTAATTTATATTTCTGTTTTAATTGGAGGATTTAGTATTCCATAGGTACAAATTGATAATTAGGTGTCCATGAAGCAAAAATGATCAAAGAGTAAGAAAAGAGTTGCAATTAGGAAAATAAAATCAAAATAGAAGAGAGGATCCCTCAACATCTTCGGTAGTGTCCACGAAGTCGAGCATAACTTTCTCATCCGGACTCCAAATCAACTGGTTCGGGGGGCATTAGAAAGCTATTTCAGGTGGCTACAATTCTTGACTAATGTAAAATTTCCAAATTCGGACTCGAACATGGTCAAAATTGGATTCCAACAGCGATCATGAAAATACCCGCTATAGTTCGAGGACACGAATGCGCATCAAGAAACGTGCACAAAAAAACTCGCTACAAAGGATACGCACATAAGTAAAAGTACAAAATCATGCACAAAACTACTCACGCAAAACAACATTCGCCAAAATGATCATGAAAACACAAACTACAATCCTAGGACATTAATTCAAATCAACAAACATGCACAAACACACTCGCTCAAATGGACATGCACAAGCATACATGTAAAAAAACATGCGCAAAAGTGCATTCGCAACAACGTTCTTAAAAGCACGGAGTAAAACACTAGGACTTTAATGCGCATAACCAAACAACAGCAAACACACAAGATACAAAAGATACAGTCGAGTGTAGAAATAACACTCAACGTTTACGTTTACGTGGATTTTTTTATGGACTAATTTATATTTATGTTTTAATTGGTGGATTTAGTATTCCATAGGTACAAATTGATAATTAGCTGTCCATGAAGCAAAAATGATCAAAGAGTAAGAAAAGAGTTGCAATTAGGAAAATAAAATAAAAATAGAAGAGAGGATCCCTCAACATCTTCGGTAGTGTCCACGAAGTCGAGCATAACTTTCTCATCCGGACTCCAAATCGACTGGTTTTGGCGGCATTAGAAAGCTATTTCAGGTGGCTGCAATTCCTGTCTAATGTCAAATTTCCAAATTCGGACTCGAACATGGTCAGAATTGGATTCCAACAGCGATCATGAAAATACCCGGTACAGTTCAAGGACACGAATGCGCATCAAGAAACGTGGACAAAAACACTCGCTACAAAGGATACGCACATAAGTAAAAGT